GTTTCACCTCCCGAAACAGCATTATGGGCACCAGGCTACAAATTGCTAGAGGCTGCTGACACTTGTCTCCTCCCTTCCTGTTAAATTTCTTTTGCTTTGCATGAGATACATCAAGAGTATTGAGTGCATAGAAAGGGGAGGCGTTGCCACCTTGGTTAAGGCATTTGCTTGGGAGGGGGAAAGACTTGAGTTTTGTTTCTGTTTCAAAGCTGCTTACATAGTTTTATGTAACAGATCTGTGTCATACTCTGTAATTCCAGCAGCTTTTCATCCGCTTTCTGAAGCTGGAAGTTATGCTAGAGGAAGAACTCACTTGAGCACCTATTTTAATACCATCCTGTTTTTAATAGTACAAGACTGACGTTGAGTTCCTTAAGGGTTGGATTAGGACCAAGAGTTGTGTCCTCTCCTCTAAATTCAAATAGCGCAGTAGGAGAAGAGCAAGGAGAGTGTCCAGTTCAGGAGACAAGAGAGCTCCTGTCCCTCTGCCATGTGGGTGCAGCATGGGAGATGCAGTTTTGGAATCGGTGTTTCACTGTGTTGACTTGCTTCTGTCCTATCATGCAGCAGCAGCTCATTAAATTCCCCTCTCGGCTGGGTGATGATGCTCTGGGGCAGGTGTGCAGCAGCAATTGCAGCTTGAAGAGTCTAAACATACAACTTACTACTGGAAGTACAGTGGTTTAACAGTGCAGCGTATCAGCCATATTTTATGAGTCATCTTCTGACTTACTGAACTGGTTGAGTTGGTCTTGCTCTTCTCTAAAATCCTTTAGAGATTTACGCTTGTGTTTTGCTTCTCAGTCTTGAAACGTTCCCATCATTCAGATTATCATAAAATCTTTTAAATGGGATCAAAAGGATATAAAAACATTTCTGAGGTGAAGGGCTTCAGCTAAGTGCCATGTAGCAATGTAGGGGAGGAGAAGGCAAAGCTCTTCTTCCAAAAAGTGTCACTGGATCTTCATGATACACCCACTGCAGAAAGGACTTCAGTATTTTTAGGATCTTGCTAAGAGCAACACTAAATAGAGCTGCATGTACTTCAGCGTCATGGGAAGGTAAGGGACAGGCTCAGCTCCGTGGGCTGTTTAAAGTTAGAAGGATTCTTTGTATTGTCAGATCCTGTGCAGCTTGAGACTTTGAGCTTGTCCTACTTGCTGAAGGAGAAGGACACAAACAAAGTGCCTGAGAATCAAACATTTCAAGCTACAAAAGGTATTTTTTCTTCCTGACAAGAATTTTGGTGAGACTTTTGTACTATGCTACTCTTTTCCTCATCAGAGGCACCTCTTGCTGTTGCAGGAAGTTGGTGGCATACATACGCAATGCGTAAAGGCTTTGTAATATTGCTTGTCGCATCTGCAAGGAGGCTTGGCAGCTGCTTATTCAGTTAAAAGTTTCCACTTCTTGCTGTGCTCAATAGATGCAAAGGCATTGAGAGGTAAATTGACTCTGTAATTTTTTACATACTAAGGGAGCGGTGTTGATGCTTTAGCTGTAGTTCAAACACGAGGTTCAATTTCTGATGCTGTTAAGTGCAGGGCTTTCTCAGACCAAAGAAAAGAGCTCCGCTGGGCTGGGGAGGAAGTAATGCCTCATCATTGTGGGTGCTCGCTCTGACTGGCAGGAAGCACACGAGAAGCCTCCAGCGGGGTTTTCCAGGGCTGTCATGACAGATGCACGGCAGTCTGAGGCCTTAAGAGAAATTTTAAAAGCTAGTATATGCAAGAATAATTTTCATAACTTTGAAGTGTGGAAGGTGTGCCTGAGGAAGGCAAAAACCCGAAAATTTAATTTCTATGCCCCCTGCCCCCAGGTGTCCTCTTCTACTGGTTTTATTCCTGCCAAGGATGTCCGTTTCCCAATTTTTTTTAAACTGAGTATTAAAGAAGCATAGCTGGCAAGCTAATAACCGTGGTATTCCCATGGAGCCTGCAGAATAACAAATCAAAGAGAAGGGGGCGCATTTCGGTGTGCCTGTGAAGGCTCACCATCGCACGGTTCCATGTCGTGGTAGATTCTTGGCTGGCAAGTCTTGACTCCGTTGTTTACCCTCTCCTATCAATGGCAATGGGTGCTGAGCCTCTTTACGGACTGAGCAATGCACAGGCTGGCACTTCTTCGGTGGTGGAAGGGTAAAGGGGTGAGGAAGAGCAGAGAGAGGTGCATGTGCGACCGGGACCTCTGGTTTTACTTCTTCTGCCGTTCACCCTCAGCCGTCACCTGAGGTCCCACCCCACCATATGGCCCGACTGCAGCGATGTGGGTTACACAGCATGCCACAGAGGCATGCAGGAGTGTGATCTTTGCAAAGAATTAGCAAATTTTAGGTGAATTCAGCTGGAAGGAGCTTTTTCTTTAAAAAAACAAAACAGGGTCTCTGATGCTACAATGAATTGAGGAAGGCAGAGGAGAGTCACAGATATGCTCACACGTAAGCATATATTTAACCGAATCTTCCACAGCATACTTTTTGTTAATTAGGGTAACAGGTACCTGTGCTTGAAGAAGCACATTCGGGGGCTTTACATATACATTCAGTTACTGCTTAGGTTCTGCCCTGTTCCTTCATTTTAAAACTCCTCTACTAGAAGACCTGCATCTGTGCCAAATTAGCTCTGACCACAGACTGAGAAGCTTTACTGAGAAGAAATCTCCCAGGCCCTTTCTTGCATTTCAGCAGCAGCACTTAAGGACAGGGGGTGAAAGGGATTGTTTTCAGTGAGCAGGATGTCAGTGTTTAGACACTGCTTGATCTGAGTCCTGTTACATCCTCAGCAACTGAAGAACTGTATCTGAGCTCTTAAAGAATAGCTTCCTCTCCTTCCAAGTGAGCACTGCAATCATCCGACCAGAATACAAGTTAAGCAATTACCATCTAACCTTCCCCCTGTGGTCTCTGTGCTATATACCTTGTTCTGCGCTCTGTATTTGAAATTCCAAATATGCACGGAGCTGCATTTTATACAGCAGCATTTTCTCATACATCTATTTTCTAAGTTTGCTTAAAAAACACATAACTGCACAGCTGGTTTTGAAGATGAAGCTGCAGTTCAGTGGGGCATATCTGTGGTTTTTGACTTGCAATACAGCATATTTGTGTCACGTCATTGAAGACACCTCTTCTGTTAGCCCAGCCAGGGGACTATGAATTTAGCTGTATGTTCCAATTCCAAGCAAATGAACGTGTTCCTTCCAAGGAGACAGTCCTGTCTGCCTCACAAATTGCCAGCTATAACTTGGAGGACCTTTTGATTTTACAGGCTATGTTGGTAGAAGCTCAGAGGCATGAACTTGAACAGGAAAAATCATACACAGCACATAACACTAGAGGAAGTTAGGAGAAAAAAAAAAAAGTTTGGCACCTGATGTGTTTTAATGTATTTAGAGGATTTTCTCAGCAACCAAACGGTAAATCGGTTGCAATCAAGTAGGTGGATTTGGGAGAATAAGAAGGGCTAAGCAGTACAATCTTTGCTCTGAATGTGTATTCACAACATGCATAATTTTGTCAATTGTCTATTATTTTTGGATTAAACCTTGAGGGATCAATCCTTCTTTGTTCTGCACCTTGCCCACGGAGCATGCTGCTCTTACGGAAGCTGAAATACAGAGTGATCCAAACCTAAGATTCCCATTTTTCAAACATCTCAGGAAAACTGAGTAATGGCTTATCCGGTAGGGATTGCCTTGTAATAACCGGTGTCTTGATCCATCATTTAAATTAAGGAGAAGAGCAAAGTATTCTAGAATTATTAGCCTTCTTGTATTTGCAGTTCTTCAGATTGCAGCTGGAGACAAGCATGTTGGCTACAGTGATGAGTACGTGACTTGGGACTGAGCCAGGTGCCAGGGCAGGAATAATTGGTATAAACTTGGGGCACGCTGAAATTTTCAGTGTCCTTTCATTTGCAATATCAGTACAAAGATTTGCTTCCCTGCAGGGCAGTTTCTGGGCTGTGTGTACATTGTGGTGATCGTAGGAAGGAATAGCATTCCCAGTTCGTTTGGGAAATTCGGTGCATTACAGAGACGTACCTGATTCCAGGAGCAGGATTCAGGTGGCAAATAGATCTTCTACAGACTGCTTAAATCACGGTTTCTTCCTTGTTAAGTCTCTGAAAAAAATCTCAAATGAAAAAGATTGGGTTTTTTCCTGAGCTGCCAACTATATCTGGTAATTACTGCTTTCTTGAACTTAATCTCTCAAAGCAAGATACCTTCAGACCCCAGCACGGTGATTACTGTTAAGTCGAACGTACAGCAAGGGGAAGAGTACAGGTCTGAAGCAAATTAGCTTCCTCTTGTCAGATCACATGCTAGAATATCCCTCCTCAGAAGTATGACAAATCCCCTGCTTTTCCAGAATTCAGCAGCATCCCCAAGATCTGCTGTGTAGTCCTGCTTCAAAGACCAGTTAAGCCTGGCTCATGCTGCAGCACGTCTTGTAAAATCTGGTGCCTGCTGCTGCAGTGAGCAGCGGTGCTAAAGGCACAGCGTGCTGATCGCTGCTGCCTCTCAGCTCACTGGGCCGGGACAAGCAACTTTGCCACTAAGATTTTTACTTCAGCGTTCACGTCTAGCAAATACGGTGGTTTTTGTCCTCACAGCATCGCACATGCAAGTGTAGTTGGGAGAATGAAGCCATTGCCAAATTGCAAATGTTTTAATCAATAACTGTCAAATTCCTCTTGACGATTTTGCTTGTGAGCAACGTCTTGGCAATCAGCGATTAGAACTGTTTTTACGAACTTAGCAACAGGACAAAACAGGCTTTTTATTATAAAACATGTCCTTGGCAAGTTTTATTCTAAAGCATCAGTTTTGTCAGTGAAGAGGAATCTCCTGCATTTAAGGGAAGGAATTTAACAAATATACAGTATACGCAACTGTAGTACCATTGTTCTTGATCTCAAGAATGTACCTTTACATATCCCTATCATACTGCTTGTTAAGGACAGAGATTTCTTTTATGCAAAACATTCTCTGTGTTTCAGGGCAGGAGGACTATGATCGGCTACGACCGCTTTCTTACCAGAACACAAACGTCGTGTTAATTTGTTACGATGTCATGAACCCCACTAGCTATGAGAATGTAACAGCTAAGGTAAGAGGCTTTCGTAATTGCTTGAATCTTTTAAATGAATTACATATGCCTGATATACGACAAGACATCAGATTAAGAAAGCCGATGCTTTTAGCGTCCTGTAGCCTGGGCGTGTAAATGCACAGATCCCTCATCATGCCCTGAGCTGCAGGTCACAGACCTTAGACCTGGGGCTCACCCCTCCATGGCCCGTAAGTGCTCAGAACTGGGGTTGGCTCTGCAGTACGTTAAAAAGATCAAATGCTAGCGGTGAAATTGCTGCTTTAGCTGTAGTGGTGTCACACGACCAACATTGCACACAAGCCTTTTAGATTGAAGTCTACTTCTGTCACATGCATATTTACCTACAGGGGACAGACGTAAGCAACCACTTGTCTGTAGTAGGACTTCTGTAATGCTCCAAAGTAGAAGTTAGTGTTCCTGTACATAGCACCGGCAAAACAAAGCAAGACTTGGTTCAGATTCTGCTCTTAAATATGACTTTAGAGGAGCTCTTCTGAATTTAAACAGATGTTAAATAAGGGCTTTGGCACAGTGACAGATGGCACCTGTTTCTATAAAGCAATTGACTTTGGGTAGAACTTTTAAATGTTTCTGTAATGTAAATGGTGCATGTTGCGCCCCTACCACTAGATTAACAACATTCAAAACTCTGAAATGGCAGCATATATTAAATGCTGGTTCTGTTCCTTGGGTTTATTGTTTTGATTTCAGGAAAAAAAAAAAAAGGCCAGACATAAAAGTGTTCTTTTTCTACCATCAGTGGTATCCTGAAGTGAATCACTTCTGCCGAGGTGTCCCGCTCGTACTGATCGGCTGCAAGACAGACCTTCGGAAAGACAAAGAACTGTTGCGCAAGCTCAGGACTTCTAAGCAGGAACCCATTACTTACAACCAGGTAAATACAAGTGCATTTAAAGTGCTGTCCTCTTTGCAAGAGATAAAGCACACTTACTTCAATGGCATTGTTCCTCGCACGTACAATCACAGATACTCCAAAATTAGGTGATCACAGTGTCGAAATAAAAACAATTGACAGTCAGCTCTAGCAGAGGTGTCTGTAAGTCCTTTTTGGAAGTGGCCAAATCACCACCCATTTTTAGTATGAAAGTAAAGAGAAGTTTGAAGAGCGTTTTGTGTATCTTGGGGTGTCTGAAAGGACACTACTAGCTACGCCTTCTATGCTCATTACATCTCATTCTTGTTTCCTTTCACAGCTGGGTTATTACTCTAACAAATTTGTAAGCCTTGACAAGTTTGTTGGACTCCCTTCATAATTTTTATTAGCATACATTGCTCCTATCGCTATCACTGGTACTTTGATCAGGATTGTGATAAAGACTGGAGATGCTTGGATATACATTACAGGATTAAAAATATGGACCATTCTGGAAAAAATGTGTTTTGCAAACCCTATTTAAGAATAAATCCTTTCAAGGACAATAGCAAAAACATCTGCAAGGCTTCTCTAACATAAAAGACTTTTCTTTGAAGACTCTAATCTTAAATCTACATATTATCAAATGTTTTCAGTTTAAGTATTGCAAAGCAGTTAAGACTAACAACTAGTGTTACATCACCAGCATAGCTCTCCTAGGTACAGGAGAAACAGTCAGTGATGGAACAGCTTGTCCCATGTCACACGAGACCTTTCTGCTCTGGTCTCCCAAGGTTTGGGGTTTTTCTTGGTGTTTTTTTTTCTTTTGGTTGGTTGGTTTTTTTAAAACTACAAAGCCATCCATCCTTCTCATCTCAGAGCAAGAACAGCAGCTTTCGCACTGTTTGAGACACAAGTCTGGGGAACAAGGTTAAATGCATTAAGACCTTGAATGAGTCACTACTTTTTCTAAACAACATGAAAAGAAACTGCAACTGCATCACCACTAAACCACACTGGGACTGTTAGCTTGTCTTCCTTGCACACGAGATGCCCATGCTGTTGGCTTTGTGAACAGCTGCAGATTGTCCCTCACTTGCATTAATAACTCTCTCCATCACCCTCACAAATGAGGTTCAGGGAAAGGAACACACCCTTTTGGCAAGTCTGCTAAGGCCTCATGCAGACTTTGTCTCCTATGTGAGCCCTCCCACTCGGTTTTTTTTTCCCCTTAAATATACACTACCTCAGTCTTTTACACCTGATGGCATCTTGAGTCACGCGAGGTGATCCTTCCGTGGTGCCAGGCACAGAGGAGCTGAACAGTATCTGCCAGCACTGCAGCTTGCAAACAACTGGAAGGAGACAAACTTCGCTTAAATAGGCTGAAGAAAAATCCCCCTGTAGAAGCCCGAGTGCTCAAGTGACCCACTCCCAGGGCTTATAATGGATAAATGCAGAGTTTGTGAGCTGTGGGTTGCAGACCTGGAATTCACACTCCAAGGCTCACAAGTATTCAAAACTGGGGGCTGACTCTGCAATCACAATAAAGGGATCACAAGCAAAGTAAGAAATCACTGTGTTTTGTCTGTACTGATTTTGCACAACCAGGACTGCATGCAAATGTTTTAGATTTTAGTCTGTTCTCATTGCATGCATTTGGGTGAGGTTGAGAAATGCAGGCACCCATTTGTATATACAAAGATTTCAGCTGAGCCCTTGTGATGCTCCAAAGCAAGAGTCAGGGTTCCTGCATGTGCACCAGCAAAACATGGCAAGACATTGGGCCAGGTTCTGCTCTTGCATGTGACATTCATTACTAAAGGTGACATCACATAATAGTTAAGGTCAGGCCTGAAAAAAAATATCGCCATAGAGACATCCTCACTTAAGTATCTACCTCAGCATTTCTTTTAAATTTAATACTGAGAATATTTTTACACTATCAGCAGTTGGCATCTTAGACTCTCGAACGAATTGAACTGTTAGGCCAGGCTCTAGATGAACATAGGGGAAAAAAAACCTAGTTTATTTAACAGTGCCTCAGTTTATTACCAATGCCACTCACACTCTAGCACTAGTACTCAGAAGCAGCTTCTTTCTTCCTGACCTCATGATATGAAGATGTAGAAAATAATTCCCTTTCTTTCCCATCTCACCTCCTTCTCTCATACGTTGGGTTTACATCTTTTCTTACCTTTTGTTCTTTCCAGGGTGAAGCAGCTTGTCAGCAGATTAATGCAGAAGTTTATCTGGAGTGCTCAGCAAAATGTCGTGAAAACATAGAAAATGTTTTTAAAGAAGCAACAACCATTGCACTGAATGCCATGAAAAAAGCCAAGCGCCAAAAGAAACAGACAGTGTGCTCAGTGTTATGATCTGGACTGCAAGAGAGCATTTGACTGCATGAGAGCCAAGCAATTCAGATTTTTAAAAACAGTATAACTTTAAAGACCATTTTTTTAATTATGTTTATATTGCTAGAACAATTTTTATTTTAAGTTTTTAATTATTTTTAGTATTTTTGCACTTTTGTTGCACTGCTCTCACAAATTTTTCAAAGCTCTTTATCAAGGTTAACTGATGCTGCGTGCCTTTGTCCATCTGGCTTTTGCTCCTGCCAGTGACCACCAGTCAGGTCTTGGACTCACTATTTAAATTGCAGTGAACAGCGACTGCTACTATATGACAATTAGTGGAGTTTTTTTCTTCTGCAAAATAATTGTGCCATATTATAGCTACAACTTACTGTCTTTTTCAAGCAGAAAAGCTGAAAAGCCACATCTTTTAGAAGTGATGTTAGAGCAATTTATCAGGCACCTTTGAAGAGACAGAAATTAAGTTCTGTCTTAAGATTTTCAAATTAATTTACTTGGTGGCAGTAGTATGAGTTAGCCTCAGCTGCTCTGGGAGCACGCAGATGGAGCATCCACTACTCCCCCTGTACTACTGGGCCAGCTTTGCAAAGCTACACCATTAGAGATCTCCTTGCAAGGCCTGCTGCTGCAATAGAATGTGGTATTTATCAATGGAAATACATCAGTTGCTCCAATTCAGAAATGGAGTATGACGGAAAATATTTAATTTACAGCACTCAAAAGTTAGAAGTACTCCAAGCGGCTACTATGTGTAATGTAAAGTCAGTTTAATAATAAACTTGCATCACTTATTTAATACATGACAGATGCAAATATTGGTGCGTGCTAGGGGAAATCCTTAACTCGTATTCATTAACTGATGAAATCTTCACTACTCTACTCTAAATTAAAATTTTCCCTTTTGTGATGCAGGTGTCAGGTGTCTGTTTTAAGGACAAGGGATGCTCCCACTGCACAACCTAGTACATGTGCCTCAAGTCTCCTAGTTCTTTTGCACATCATGCAGCAAGATACTGGATTTCAGGAGAGATCAGTAGTTTGTAGCCAGCATAAACCAAACCCTTGACAGGGAAGGAGGTTTCTGCAGTACAGGTGTTGCTGAAAGCTTTCTGTATAAGGCAAACTACAGCCCATCCTAAGGGAGAACACATAGGACTTGCGTAACGGTAAGAGACACAACCTTTTGCCAAAAAGTTTAGGCGGCACATGAGGAGTGTGCTGTTAGGCAAACATTGCACATAGAGCCTGGTAACTGTACATCATACAGAGTTCATGCAACTTTATCCTCTGCTGGTTACGTGACCGACTGGTAAAAAACTGTTTTGGAGTGAGCCATCATCATTATTTTACAAGCAGAGTAGAGAGATCTTGATCCTTGAAATCTTCCAAATCTTCCTTTTTTTTCTTTTTTTTTTTTTTTTTTACTTTCTTCTCCTAACTTGTTTTAATTAAGGTTTGTGAATCCCTATGAGCTTAAAATGGGAAATGAAAAAAAAAGTACAAGTTTGTACACTTCTTCGACTATAGAAAAACCTTGAAGAATTGTGCAGCCCTTTCTCCATGAGAAGACATTTTTCAGTAAAAGACACAGAACCGCCCATCACCTTACCCAGTACGAAACTGAAACAACTGTGCAGGAAGTTAACGCGTTCACCCTCACCTCCACAGTGGGAAATCTTTCTTGCTTTTTTAATCTGAGTTTCTCATGCTGCAGAACTCAAGTTACTCACCACGTGCAGAGCTCCCCAACCCTGGAGAACCAGGTCCACTACTCAGATCCAGCAGATTCCAGCATCACTCTCAAAATAAAACAATTTACATTTCATAAATGGAGAGTTCAAAGGATTAAAAAAAAGCCTCACAGGGTGTACAAAAGTCAGAAGTTAACATAGCAAGATACAGCCCAGCTAGTGTGAAAGTTGTTCAAAATACACAAATTGCAGTTTATTGTTCATGCCCACAGGACAGTGACACTGTAATTTCGCTAGCCTCGCAGCAGCAGAAGGACCAATGAAACCATTTCAAGTCTGTAGTGCATATATATTTCTTCATGAGCACGCTCACTGGGAGAAGGGCATCACTTTCAGATCACTGCCAAAGCATATGCCCAATTTGGGCTTTGTGCTAGCTCAAAGGAAGCCTCAACCGTCGGGAAAGACGCTGCCTAAGGCAGCTCACAATGCTGCAGCTGGCCTCAGGAGGTACAGATGTTACAGCATGCAAAACAAGCTTATTTGAATGAGTAAGTTTAAGTTCAAGCAGCACAGGAGGCAACCAGGATAGCAGTATTTGTCCTCTGCCATCCTCCTGAACGAGCATTTACATTCTCTTAATTATTGGTACAAGTGCAGCATCTAAAGAAAGTATTTAATATTTCTGCTGAGTCTGTCCTCCCCTTTCCAGAACAGCACTGGGAGCAAAAAAATACTGAAAACAGAAACCAAAGTGCAGCTGCACTTATTGCCACTGATCAAGGCCATTTTAAGGAAAAAGAGTTTCAAAAAAACCAACCCAAAGGGCAGCATATTTGTTATTAAAAAGGAGCTGATGCATATTGAATGGTTTATTTTAGGTCTTTTCCAGGCCTGGACAGATGACTTGGTCTCCCTGGAAGAGGGCTAGCAGACTTCCCTGCCATTTAAAAACTGCTTTTGCTTGCTTGTTTTGTTTTCAAAACAGGATTTATCTTTTTAAAAGTGTATATAGCAGCAGTATGGTACAAATACGGGCCTTTTTTTTTTTTTTCTCCACAGTACACACAGGTTAGTATTGCCACTGAAAATATGCCTTAAACAAATGCCTTTAAAACCAGCATTCGGTCTGTATTACTGATCAAGATGGAGTGTTCATAAACCTTTGCAAATCCAATACCCAGAATTTAAATAGTAAAACTGGAAAGTGTTAAATATCATTCCAGAATTGGAATTACAGTAGATCCCACATTCTCCCAATGTTGCCGCTTCACCAGGCAGGTGCATGCTGCTCTATATACAGGAAAAGAAAACCCAAAAGCAAACACGTTTTGTATTAAATATACATAAATAGCAGGACTGCGGACTGGAAAGCCATGCTTGCGTTAATACTGAGTCTGTGCTGGCAGAGTCCATATCCTTCAGCAAACACAGGGACGGACGAGTCCTTCCGAGCCTGTCCATCGTGTAGCTGGGGTTTAGCAGGATCTGTCCCAAACCCAGCGCCCGCTGCGGGCAGAGGGACGGCAGCCAGCACGCCGGGGACGGGGGGTTCACAGCTTCTTCATTTTGTCTTTGTTTTTCTGGAGTTTAGTGTGCACCACTTTGAGAGTAGTGAGGAAGTTCCCAAGGAAGAGCAGCAGAAACGTGAAAGCCAACACAAAAACCTGAGAGGGAAGAAGGAGGCGGGGAGAGAGAAAAAAAAACGGTGAGAGCTGAGGGTACTGCTTTGGCCACACTGAAGTGAGATCTGATGGTTGGCAAGTCCAGGGATCCGTTAGCACGGAGATCCAAGGAGAGAAGATTGTAGCCAAATACACATCCGCGCATCCACCTATGCACAGCAAGTATATTTTTATCATGATCATTTACTACTTTTTAATATTGTAACATGGATTATATTCAACACTGCTGGACTCTACCAGACAGTAAAATCAAATCATTAAGTCCAATCTAATAGATTAACATTATGCTACAAGCATATGCAGTGGCACAGGCGTTGGGGAATGACATGTTTCTGCGGGAAGTTGTGTGACTCCTGAACAAAGTGATCAGCAAGATCTGACCAAAATGAAGACCATCAGATTATCTGCACCACTGCACCTTTGATGTGGTCCAATCTGGATTTCCAGGAGCAATTGTATAGCTGGAAAATGGATAGACATGTTTGATGGGTGACAACTGAGAAAACAAGTGGAAAGATGCCTACAAGTGGGACAATACAGTGGATGATAGTTTTTTTTAAGTGATTCACTGCCATCATTTTTTGTTGTCATATTTTTGTACGTGTTACTGATGGATCAGCCATAAAGAACCACCAGCAACTTGGCAGCCACTGCTATTAAATGTCTGTATACGCCAACAATATGGAGAGAGATTTACCCACAGGTATTTTCTTCCCCCCCTACATCCTTCACCTTTCAGTTTGTGCGGTCACTCGTGGGTGCAAGTTTCCCTACTGTAACTCACATTTATTTTGAGTTCTCTTGTATAGGCTGTGTGCCACATCATCCTGAGGTATTCAGATGGGGTCAGATACCCAAATATCTTTAAGGATGTGGTTAAACACACCCACTCTCCCCCTGCTCCGTGCTTTTTCTGGGCAGAACCAACACCCACCTGCCATTCTTTGCACTCCTTATGCCTCGACAATCCAAAAAGCGTGATTGCATTATACAGCTGCCAGAACTACAAAGGAAAAAAAAAAAAGGAAATTTCTTAATAAGCAAAAAAAAAAAACAAACACCCACCACCAGAAAAACCCCAAACCTTAGAAACATTTGCCACGGGTGCGTGTGATCCAAAGCACCTTTTTACGGTGCTGCAACCGCAGTGGCAGACCCTCCCAGGCCCTGCGCCGCAGAGGGAGGAACGGGATTGCCCAACTTACATGCCCAAAGAACAAGAAGGGAAGGAGAAACGTCAGCCCCCGCCACATCCAGGACTGAAATCCTTCTGGAACAGGTTAACAGAAGAGGCAGAGTGAGCACAGAAGAGCCAGGCCGGGAGCTGCAGCCCTCCCCACCCAGACCACCCCATAAGGGCTATTCCCATCCTACTCTGCAATACCCAATTGAAAAGACATACTTGAAGGTGTGGTACTGGGAGGAGGATGAAGATGGAGATGACCAAAACCTCCATCTTAACCCTCTCAAGAGCTGACGGAGATCAGAGCCCTCTGCTCCCAACCCACAGGACTCGAGGAGGGGGATAAAAGCCTCGCTCCCCTTCCTGCGTTAGGACGCAGGCAGCAGGGCAGGGGGGTGGCCGCTCTGCAAAGCTCGCTCTTGGAAGGCCAGACAGCCCTCTCCCTATCGCTGCATCTAAAACCCGTGCAAAAACTTTGCAAAGAAAGTATTGCAGAAAACCTCACCTACTGTAAGGTCCAAGTGGTTTCTCTCCCCCAAAGCACGGAGTCTATAAAGGCAGCCCCTTTGATAATAATACTGTAGGAACTGAACGCAACCTGGAGGAGGAGAGAGAAAACATCATTCCGTTAGCTATTCAGAAGTATGAGAAACATATCAAACTATTTTAATAATGTTTAATCCAATAGCATTTAATTATTGTCTATATTTGTACATTGCATATTTGTATGCTATCTTTATATTCCTACAGTTTAACACTCCAGTAGTTACCAAGCAGAAGTGTTTTCTTCTAAGCACAGAAGATACAAAACTATTTTATCCCATGAATTAGCAAGGTAAGATATACTCACTCTGAAATATGGAAAATGCTAAAAATTGACTGCGAAACATTCGATACATGAGTCCATCTGGCCTGAAAGCAAAATACAAAGGAGGTTTATTTGTTTGATAAAAAGCACACAATGCAGTGCCCTTCCCCTGCACTGCCAAGTCAGATCCCGTCAGCAAACGAAGCCAGCAGCTGGTACCCAGCCCGCTCCACCCCATCAGGAGCCGAGCGAGGCTGCTCCAGCCGCACATCACAGCTCTGGCGCGTAGGAAATGCTCTCATTGACCAGGTTTCCCCTCCCCAACACATCTGAATGCTGCCCTCTCTTATTCATGTGCTTATTGCAGTTTTCTCTAGGCAGCAACCAACGCCATTCAGCAGCATCTGCATCAAGAATCCAAGCAGCGGAGCAGGGGGTGGTCATGCTCCTCATCCTAAGGGTAGGTCAGGATAGACAGAGGACAGGAGACCTCCTGTTCCAGCCACTATGTCATGCCCTTACAGATTCAGGAGCAGAAACATTTGTTGGTTTAAAACAATTTTTAATTATTAACGAATCAATTCATGCCAAAGGTGAGACAGGTCGCACAGGGGCGGTCCGCGGGGTGCATCGCTGCATTGTTTGACCAACACCACCACCCTCGGGAAGGTAACTTCCATTTTTGGCTTTATACTCCGTTCGTAATCTGGGTTCAGTAAAGGCACCAAACGGATTCATTTTGCGGTGCCGTCCCTCTAAAGCAAAGTGCTGCTTGTTTGCTTCGTTACAGAGCCAGAAGTCAGGAGACTTGCAGAGATTTTGCTACCGTCAGTGCAACTACAGCTAAGGGTTTGAGTTTCTTTCCTTTTTTTTAAATCAGGAATGTAAATACAAATTTGCAGCGTTGCATTTAACATTGAAAACATCTGTAACATCAGACAAATATTAAGTCTGATGCTTCGCCATGTGCCCGTGCGGCCACAGCTTCGTGGTCACGCTGGATTTAAATGCTCAGGTGAGGCAAACGCTTTGAAAGGGGCTTGAAGCACCTTAAGCCGGCAAGAGCAGACTCACCACGTTAACATTACTCCAGACAGGAATGTGGAGACGTAGTGATGAGATACCCACCAGCCTTTGATCCTGAACAGAAAAAAACATGGCAGTTAGACGAGAAACATGGATTTTAGCATTATAAGCCTGGCTTTAAAGACAAAAAAAATGATCCTGACTCGGGGGAGGAGGAAGGACAGGGAACAAAATAGATGGCTCAACTCAAGCAAAAGGGCTGCTGCGGAGCCCTGTCCTGACAACGGAGCCCTGTCCTGACAACGTGGGTTAGCTGGGGGCACGAATCCGTGACTGCTGGAGGGAGGCTCAGGACCGGGGCACGTCCCCCCCGCTCCCACGGGCTCTCCAGCACAGCCAGAAGCAGCAGTCCCTGCAGCACAAGGTACCGCGGTGACAAATGACACACAAGTTTCAGCCCACACACTCTTTTTTTTTTTTTCCTGTGCCATGCAAATAAGTGATGTTTCCAAGTCCTTCCTATGACGTGGCTTTTTTCTTTCAGACACGAACGCTGCAGAAAGCTCAGAAAATTACAGTAGAGTGAGCAAAGGCTGTGGCAAGGCAGAATCATGACATGAAGAGCTGCCCCCAAGACGGCGCTGCTTTGGAAACTAAGTCAACGCGATGGGTTAATTTTGGGTGTCTCCAACCAAAGGTGTGCAACCTCCAACACAAGACGGTGCAGAACCACCGTGATGAGGACGCAGCGAGCCCAGGCTCAGCCAGAGGTTTTTCTGTTGACCTCAGGCAAGCGACTCTACATCCCTGTGTTTTGGTTTTTCTGCTTCATCTCTGATCCCACAGCGATCCCTCCTTCTCTGGAAAGCGCCCCAAAAGAAGACATCCTGCCCACAGCAGCCCTGGGGACAGCCATGCTTGCAGAAGAGACCGTTTCATCCCTGCTGCCCATGGCCAGCACTGGGAACTGTGTCCTCCAGCAGCTCCCAGAAACCAGCACATTTTTGAGATTTTGCCCCCAGGCAAAGCAGGAGGGCCCTGATTCTCCCACCACGCACGCCCCACCGGTGTCTGCCTCCAGGCACAACCCCCCTCTTGCATCAGGAGTGGCAACCACAAGCATCCCGCCGGCAACCAAGACAAGACTCCCAGGAATGCTCCCTCCCATTCCCATTTTGAGATGGTTGAAGCAACTGGCTTCAGAGAGGGAAGTGACTGGCTGAAACAAGGAGCCATGAGCTGCTCGATCGTTAGGCATTGCCACTTAATTAAGACAACACTGACTCCTGCCATTAATGCAAGTGCTGGGCCACCCCTGTACAAGCATCGCTACAAGGGAGCGTAAAGTGCTCTGTGCAGCGTTCGGAGCAGCAATGAGTGCGTGAAGCCGGGGTAACGTGATGCTGGCTGCTCAAAAGGTGGCAAATGAGACAAGTTAGAAGCCCAATTAATTAACGCAACAGGGAGCTGCAAATGTTGCAGCAGCCACTCACCCAGCTGCAAACCAACATGAAGACTCATGCCTGGGAAGACACGTGGCAATTGCTGCAGTTTCCCTGCGCCAGCCTATCTGGATGATGAAAACCAGGGACATGCAACCATCAGGTTAGTGCTAAAATCTAGCACCGGGCTCCAGGTTAAGTTACAGAAGTGCAAACTCGAGCAGCTTCTCAATGCAGACCTCAGGGAGATGCTCCAGGAGCGATTCACCAGCAGGACCCCACCACCCCGCCTTAGGATACCCCTACTGAGGGTGCCATAAAAAACAAGGGCTTGGAGTAAGGGTCATCTTTCAGCTAACTTCTCCCAGGGTTTTACTTGTGTTCCCAGCTCTTTATACTGCCAACTTTCCCTCGACACGACCGTAATTTAGTCACACGCTTCATGAGATGCGGCAGTGACCCGCAGGGCGTCCAGCCAGTACCTTGCCTTGGTCCTTTCACCAAAAACACATGCACTTATATATACCCCAGACTGCATCTACAACTGACCCACAGATACCAAAAACATCCAGCTCTTCGGATCAAGAGCTTATGGACTTTTAGGAACTGCACCTTCCCCTCCTTCCCCAAACCTCAGGTGGTCCCATCTGCCCTTGGAAGCAACCAGGGATGGGGGACAGAGACAAGAGACCCTGCAGGGAGGCATCAGCATCTTGGATTTGCTGGGCTTCAGTGCCACGCTGAATCCCCTTTTGTTGCTTGTTTTTCTTTGAAGGATGTTTCATGCTTTAAAATAGTTTTTGCAGGTGGCACAGTACCTGGAGCCATTGCTAATGAGAATGCTTTCCCGTATCGTCAGCGTGCAGTAATACCACACTAACAGAAAGTTAAACACTTCATCTGTCACCCTGTTAAATGGAAAAAACACACAGTAAAAAAAAAAGTTATCATTACAAAGACACATTCAAAAAAAAAAAAAAGTCCCTATTTTTCCTCCCTCCCCTTGGGCAAATGAGAACCTGCTCAAGTGAGGCCACGGCCACAAAGCCCCACTCCTGACCATCTCTAATGCCCATGCAGAACCGCACACATCGGTGGCACCGCCAGGCTCAGGGTCCTGTCCTCTGGGAAGTGCCCTGCGATATAACACTGCAGATCTTGAGCTGATAAGCAGGTATGCAGAGATGACATTAATTCCTTCTGAAGGAGAGAAAGCACCATGGAAGCAGCAGATCATCCAATTTAGAGAGGCATTTCCAGGCTAATTCAATGAGGAGATTCCATAAGATCTATATAAATCCAATCAACTGAAAGAGCTGAAGAGCATTACACTCTGGCGGGGGGAAACAAATGGAAAAAACCCCCAAACCTCTACTTTACTTTGCTGTTTGCAAACCCCTGAAGCCAAGGGGATTCGGGGCAGCCTCTGTATGCAGCAGCATCATTACCTGGTACGATCCTGCCCTCACCCAGACCCACAGACACCTCAGTGGAAGTACCCAGCTCCAACATATTCCTGGTTTTTAAGCAAAACTGAATAGTGGAAGCTTGTTGGTGCTCAGACACTTTATCACAATCTAGGGGTAACATTTCAGGTCCGATCACTTCATGCAAATCCTCTCTTGTTGCCTTTGCAAGCTGGAGCGTGGTGCCGGTCCCTGCCTGGGACAACTCAGGAGCAAAATCAACTCCTCATTCCCAAGCACGGCACGATGCCAGAAAAACAACAGATCAGCAAACACAATGCTGGACTTCTCTTAGTTACCAGAGACTCCAAAAAATGTTACACAAGGAAAAGGAAGGAGCTAAAATACAGGTCCTGCCAGTGTTGAAGAAGAGGTGCAGAAGTTGTCCTGCTGTCCCAACTACTCAAATCCTAAACACTGCCAGAGCCCACCTCACCGTCCTTAACAGAAGAGAACCGTTAGTTCAAACCCAGCACGTTTTTATTCAAAAGACTTGATTAAAAGTGAAAATGCAGCTTGCCTGTAATGGAGAATAAACCTGCAGGCGACGGCCCCAAGTAACAAGATTATCGTCAGATAAAGTTTGAACTTCTCATACTCGTCCTTGTAGGCAAACCTGGAAGGAAACAGCCACCGTTTACAGACACAAATGGGTGTTTTACCAGAACACGGCTTCACTTTTTTCAAACCACAGAAATCCACATGCCAAGCCCAGAGCCATGAGGTTTTCCTTGAAGCTTTCAGAAAACCCGGGGATGTCGGTGAAAGGCCTCAGGGTTCGTCTAGGCTGCATGGCCACTGCACTGCAGGACAACTCAATGGCTTAATTCCGTAAGAGAGAGTTTCTGAGTTGGCATGGTAAGATTTAAAAAAAAAAACAAAAACAAAAACCAAACAACCCCAAAACCACAAAAAAACCCAAACAAGCAAAAAACCCAAAAACCCCAAACCCACACACCTCAATTTTCTGCAGTACCGTGTGCCTAGAAGTCACAATACCATTTTCCACTGCAAAACCCCCGTTACAATTAAGGCACCAGGCTGGGCTCAAAAGCAAGTGATGGACAGAATCCATCGGAGCTCCTGAAGCGTTAGCGTGACCCCGTGTCATGGTCCGACTCAATCACCCTTGACAGTTCATCTTTTACCAGATCTAAGAGAAAAATCATTCCCGTCTCCGGACTTCAGTCCGTACCCATGGCTGGCCCCAGAAAAACCCAAATTCCCACATGTGCAAACACTCACTCACTTCGCTTGGTTACTCAGGAGAGTTACATTCACGTTTCCCAGCACCAGATTTAAGTACAAGCTGGAAGACAAAACACAAGCGCAGACCCACGTAAGTCTGTTTTACTTGAACGCTGCAGGATGACACGGATCAGAGCTGAAGAGACAGGCGTATCTGCTGAAGCCATGTTTGCTGCATGTTTTTAATTAAGGCAAACTGGAGAGATAAGACTACAGAAAAGGATTTAAATGTGAAAAGATTGGTCAGCATTTTCAAGAAGTTACAGAAAAGGTTTATTTTCCTGCTCTTTTGTCTGCGCTACAGTCTAAGGGTGAGATACGTAGTATGCACTGTTCAAAACTAAAAATAACAAGGAGAAATCAGAAGAAAAGTTTCTGATACCAACTTCCAAGGGGCTGCAGCATCACACAACTGAAAGAAATATGTCCTAGCAACCCTACTTGGAGCAAAGTATAAATTTTAAGGTCGGTTGTAAGCACTATTAAAAAAAAAAAAAGAAAGAGAAAATTCCTGTACTGACTTAATCTTCAAAAAATTAGCACAGCGTGAAAAAGATCCATGTGAAACAGCAAATTGCATGATCTCTCGCCAATGCAGGGTTACTTTCATATTAACAAAACCCCCTGTGCTGCCTACATGCCGTAATTTACATACACTTCCAGCGACTGAATTCGGCATACGACCGACACAGCAGCTCAGCAAGAGATTTATGACTAATCCAGTTTTACATGTATTTGTTCAACACGCACATTATCCTTTGGGAACAACGCTGCTGCGAACACTTAAAAAAAGTCAGCTCTCCCGGAGCCCGTGCCTCCCCGGCAAAGCACGTACCCGTTCTTCTTTGGCAAGTAGGCTTCCATGTCAAAGAAGGCATTTTGCCTCTCCTTGATCTGGGCGCTGATCTCCTGAATGAGAGCAAACTCCTCAGGACTCGCTCTAGGCTTGCACCTGCGAGAACACAGAAACAAGATGTTCACGTTTTTACATCCTTTTTATTTAAAGGAAAACAACATTGTCGTAAAATCCATGCTGTTAAAAAGGTAACTGTGTGAGCTGATGCCGTTGCGCACTTTGCTCCTGTACTTCTGCAGCACCATTTGGCTTAGCCATCATTTTATTTCACTGTCTGGTTTATGTCCTTGTAGGCTATTTCAACCAGCTGGTTTATAAATCAGCTTCTCTCTTCGTCTCAGCTCAGTGACAGGATCCCGTGCTTCTTCCCTAGCAGAGCACTTTGGGAATATTGTACTTTTTTTGCAGGAACTCCTTCCACTTTGGGAACTTTGTGCGCAGTTTCAGGCACTGCCCTTGCAGACGCTGCAGCTCTTCAGGCGTGAAATATTTCAGGCTGTACCAAAACGCACAGCTGATGATTTACTGACAAACTCTGGTTTTACCAATTAATATAAACCAGCGAGCAGCGCACAGCAGCGTCAGCAACCCACGGTGTTGCAGGTGGGGTATTCAGACGTGCACCCAAGGAATTCAGCCTGTGGCTCCCAGGGATCAGGCGAGCAGCCAGAGACGGTTCCCTCCTGCAAACCCACCCAGAAGCGAGTCACACCTTCAGGTTCAAGGACTGATGCTGCTTTTCCAGCACACCTTACCGAGCAAAGCTTTGCTCACCTTGCAAAACACACGGACCAAAAGCTGTGCGGTCCTGCAGCGTACAGGACAGACTGTAAGGATGCAAACCCACACAGGCTCCCCCAAAGGTCTTCTTTATTAACAGGACTCCATCTCTCACGGGGTTACAAACATTTTACCTGGTTGTGATAGATGGAAGCGACTCAAGAATAATATGGAGCAAAATTATCACTATGACAAAGACTGGGTATTAAAACGCAAAAAATCCAAACATTTCAGCCCTTTGGGAAGGAGAAACAACCTATCCCTGCCTCCTCCACCCTCCCGGTCTCCCGTTACCGTTGCAGGCTGTGTTTCAGATCCCTTAGCATCTTCTTCTGCCGGTGTATGGAGGTGCTGCAGGCTGTCTGCAAGCTGGTGACTTCTTCCAGTTTCTGCCTGTAAACTTTGTGTGTTTCCTGCAAGAGAAGAGGAGAGGATTAGTAGGAAGAGCCCTTCTAGGTTACACATCGCATTTGGTCCTCACCTCTGAAGGAAGCAAGCAAAACCCTGGTTTTGGGGGAATCAGCAGGCACTCCTGCAAACAACCAAGGAGGGGGAGATGTCAAACCACTGCGGATCCAATGCAGCTTAAACGGACATGGATGAAGTTCCTGCAAAACGAAGAGCATCCGCTGCACTCCTCTCATTTCCTCTTTCTAAGGAGCTTTCCCACCCGGGGGGCTCCGCATTCCTGTCCCACCCTGTAACGAAGCTCTAATCCTCTGTTTGATCCCAATCTGTCCCCACCAAATGGGTGGATAAATCGCAGAGCTGGAGCTCTGATTTCACAGCCAGATTAAATCTGGGGAAAAAAAAGAAAAAAAAAAAAAAAAGAGACAGACAAGGAGCCAGAGGAAAAAAAAACAAACCACAAAACCAGCCACAGACCCACGCCTGGGGGTTTAGATGCCTCCTGGCCACCACTGCCATCTCAACCCCACGTCTGAGAGCTCAGCCCATCCCCTCCCTGCGACATCAGACACTCCTTGAGAGGAACTTCTTTATCACAGCTCATTGATCCTCTGAAGCCCCCAATTAGTGTTTGGCCATAACGAGGACGCACTGAGAGGTGCCTCTGCTCTCGCACCCCTCCCTCTGCTCGGGAATACACCGGCTCGGCTTTTCCCCACCTTTGCAATGATTTCACCAAGCGATGCCCTCTGAGCAAATTTTAAGATCTATGATAACTCAGAAAAAAGTTTGCAAAGTTAGTGGTGTGGAGAGAAGGCGGAGGTTAAATGGCTATTTGCACGGCTGCTTTATCTACCGGCACATCGATGACCACAGAAAATTACCACCGAGAGCATAAACACGGTGGTAAAACCATACAAAACAAATCTTTGCTCTCTTCCTCGTTAGGACCTGGCTGGTAGCTGTTCATTATTTACAAGAGCAATGTAAAAATAGCTCCGGTATCTGATTTAAAACCCTTAGTAACCAAACTAACCATGTCCAGGCACTGCAGCTCTCGTGGTTTCAGGATTGGTTTGGCTTTGCTTAGCACGGACAGGACTTCGGGGCTCCCTGGCTTGCCCAGTAACTTGTTCCGCTTCTCTAGATGTCACGCAACAGCATCTTTAAAAAGGCTGGTTCAAAGGTGTAAGAAGCTCTTTGCCAAAAAAATATTCAAGTATTTATCGGAAACACAAACAGGTGAGTTGAGAGCTGGTAAATTCTACCGCTAGCCAAAACCACCAGGATAATGATTTCAAAATGACACCAGTGGTTAGAACAGAACAGTTGCTCGTCGTGAAGTTATTTATTCATCAAGAGAGGCAACTGCTTACAAAGGGAACCCACTGGCAACGCAGGGAGCTCAGCATCGCCGTTACATGGAGGGGTATAACCCGCGGGCCCAACACCTGCCCGGAGGGTCAGGTCTCGGCACATCTCGCGCTCTGTGTAGGAGACAAGACGTGCCGAAAAACAAAGGACCCGTGCACCAAGGAGAGGAGTATTTTTGCCCTGAGTTGAAGAGCTCCCAGGCAGGAGACATCAGAGTGCTCTCGGCACCCAAGTTTACGTATTTTGCAGCGCCGGGGCTGTAACTGCCCCGTTTGCAAGCGGACATCGCGCTGCCCAGTTTGCCCGCAGCC